TTGTATGCACGACATGGACTTTTAAAAGAGAATGAATGAATCTTTTTAATTCTTTCAAACGTCAGCTCACGTCATTGTTTTTAGATTAAAGAGATATGACAAGATTTTTAGTCAGAGCATATTTTTAATGTGCTGTACCTCGCTTTTGTTGTTGTCGTTGTTCTTGGTGGTGATGGTTTGTTGTTGTTTGTTTGTTGTTTGTGGGTTTGGGGTTTTTTTGTGCTTTGTTTCTGTTTTGAAAAGTGCACCGACGTCTAGTGTCAAAATGTGAAATACATCGGTGCATTTTGTCCTAAAGTTGTTTGTTTAAAAATCGTTTAATTTTTCAAAAGGACGGCCTATAGCATTATCCATTACTTGCTCTGCCTACGCCATACCTCAAACTACACTTCTATTTGTAACTAGCCACACCCTGTTTTCACGAGTGTGTATTTTGATATTTACTCGACTTAATTAAATTAGGGCAAGGACCAGGCTTCAAATGTTGTTTTCACGAGTTTGTATATTTTTTATATGTAGGCCTTCGTGACTTAAGAAACAGGCTTCAAATGCTGTTTCACCAGTAACATAATCGTGTAGACATTTGAGAGTTGTTTTTTTTAATGTTTTATATTTTTAACTAAAAGTAAAAGTCGATCCCTCATTCGTAAATTAAGTCAAAAGCGTCTTTCGCACATGGTGTCACGACGACCCAAATAGTGGCCCCACTGAGGGTGGAGACCGCGGATAACATGTGCGAACGAGGACAAGTAGACCTAAGATCGGAGGCTCAGCTTTACTTTTATCGCGGTTTTTGTGTTTGAACTACGTGCATTTTTTATGGCAATGCTGGGTCAGGTACATTCACAAAGTGTATTCCTCCTGCCTTGCTTGCACCACACACTCCAATAAAATAATATCATTATATAATAATGTTGTATTGCACTCGTCTCGCCTCAAACATTCCTCTATTATTGTTTATATATATATATTGTTCTTATACCTCGAGGTCAGCTTCCAATTGATATGGAGTACTTTTCAAGAAGTCAATGTTGATATCGAGTTCTCAGCAGAGCGTGGGACGGGGTTGTTTGTTTTGTTGTTGTTGTTGTTGTGGGTTTTTTTTTGGGGGGGGGGGGGATACTGAGGGTGTTAAACAAAACAGCAATAGCGATTTGAGTTTGAAAAAGCTAGCAGATCGCAAGCAAAATAGAATCAAAGCTAAACAAAGTAAATTTAAAAAATCAAAGTACTACATGCACAGCTTCAATACCATGTAAACTATATGGGTTCTTGTCTTGGGTGTGTTTGTATATATATATATAGGAGTTGTTGTTTTTGTTGTTCTTGTTGTTTTTGTTGGGTTTTCTTTTTTGGTTGTGTGTGTTGGGGGGGGGGGGGGTGATTGTTATTGTTTTATTAGATTTAGTTTTTGGGGGTTTTGTTTTGTTTTTTGGGGGATAAAAAAGGGGGGGGGGGGCTTAAAAAAGCAAAGAATGAAGATTTTTCTTTTAAAAGATATTGTAAAATCTGATTAAGAGTTGGGTTGTTGTTTTCTGTTTCGATCTGTTTATTTTAAAACAGCGTAAAGCAAAGATTTTAAAAAGTCGAGTTCTCAAAACACCACAAGAGGAAAACAATCGCCAGGAAAATTTGACGTCGTGGAAAGTACTCTGTATCAAAACCTACCTCTTCAACCTGTTACATGTTATATTGTTACTACACATTAGAATATAATTCCACCTGACTCACTCACATTCCATTCTCTCGCTGTGATTGTTGGGTTGTCATGTTGTTATTCTCCAGGGGAAAACAGCATAAAAAAAGACACAAGAAAAATAATGTGAGGACTACTGCCTAAATTGTGCGTGTTCATATGCTGTACTCTGCCGTTGTTTTCCTTTACGACTGTGTTAGAAGTATCATGGATAAAAGAGCGGAACTACAACTGTTTCACGTAAAAATGTTTTGGCATAAATGTAAATAAGATAAAACAAGCCAAATGACATATCTAAACAGTCAAAGACAACTGGAAAATTGTGGTTTACGCCATTTTCCCCATGAACGTTCTCACTTTGTTTATCACGTAAATGTCATTCTTATCAGGTTAATCACATAATCAGATTGTCTCAAAATATCCTATTTCTTAATCCGAATGCCGATTTTTTAATGTTTTATTGAAGAATATCTCATCCAAAACAGTACGTGTACACTGCAGGGTAGTTCACTTCTTTCTTCTGAGATAGTATCTTATTACATTCTTTTTTTTTTTAAATTAAAAAAAACAAGTTTGTTTTTTTTGTTACAGTTTTGTTTTTGTGAGGAAGGGGGTGCTTTTTTGTTTGTTTATGTAGGTTTGGTTTGGTTTTTTGTTTGTTGCCTTTTTGTTTGTTTGTCTTTTAAAGGAGTGAGCTATCTTGTAGTTGTGGCGTACAGTCTTTGCTTGATTACATGAAGGCCAGTTAGTGAGACGTACTATGTGATCTAGGTTACATTCATTAGTCATCACTCTGAGCTGCTGGGACAATAGACCGAAATCTGACGTTATTGTTGTTTGAAAGTGTTAAACTTAAACAACTCAAGCGTTGGTCTAAAAGCTATCATTTGCAAGTTATTTGATAATACATGTAATACGGTATTTATACCATGGTTGGTTGCCTTTGAAGACTTTCTTAAAAGTTCAATTCCACGCACTTTCCTTTATCTAAAGGGGAGGGGGATTTTTTTTTTTTCTTGTTTTTAGCGGGAACGTATTTATTTTTCCACGAGTAGGATCGTATGTGGGATTGAGTAGTTAGAAATCTGGTGGAAAACTAAGTTCAAATACGATTTTAGGTCCCAAGCTATGAACTATAAAAAAAAATGTTCACTAAAGTTTACCCAACCCTTTATAACTTCAGAAATGTGTAAAAAGTGCAATTTTCTTTTGGGGTTTACATTTTTGTTTCACTTTCTTTTGTTGCTGTGGTTGTTGGAGTTGTTATTGTTGTAGCCTTTATTATAATACTATAATACCATACTTAATATTGTATACTATAGTACCACAATATGAAAAAGTTGAGATGATAAATAAATTGTTCATTCCCAAATAAAATGAACAGACTCTAGAGCCAGTGTGGGGAAAACTATCAACAGGTCTGATCACCAGGTGCTATTGTGTACAGGATACCTTGGCGGTATTCTCACGAGCAAAATGTGGCATGACGCGGAGGAAGCAGGCGCTCGTTAATTATGGGGCACACGTAGTTATATATATTGGTATTATCTTGAAGCTTGTTCATTTGTTTTGCTTTTGATCTTGAAAAAACACAACCCAATTATATTGAACAGTATTCGAGATATTTGCATTTGAAGAAGGTGGGGAGTCGCCTTATTTCAGAGCTAAAATTTATTAGGTGACTTCCACTTCCAAAGCTTGAGTGTCCTTGAAACTGCAAATTTTTTTATTTTTTTTTGGGGGGGGGAGGGTTGCCTTTCAGTAAAATGCATGCAGGAATCGATCTATATTTTTCAATGGGTATAAAAGCGTTTGAGCCCAAAAAAATTTCATCTGATAAAATTGACCAATGGATGGGAAATTGTCCGATGCTCTGATGTCATTATTTTGATGAGCACCTGATTCCACCACGTTGCGAAACAAATTTTTTGAGAAAACTCAGCCATGTTATTAGAAACGAGTGAAATAGCTACCGTATGTATACGGTATATATATAATATATATATTTCTATCTTATTATACATTGCACGCATTTTTACTGATATGATATAAATACAACTCTCCTATTCTGCTTACAACGAATTGTGAAATAGTCTTTTGGAATAAAAAGTAACAAAACTCAATTTTCCACATTATGGCTTTATTTGTTTGGTTTCTTCAGTTTTTAAATCTACTGGCTACAACCCCCCCCCCCCCCCCAAAAAAAAAGAAAAAAGACCCACATAAACACAAAAAGCACACACACACACACACATCCCCTACCTACCTACCTGCCCTCTAACCATGTTCTGTCGCTGCTTCCACCTATACTTTCTGTCCCTACCCCCACTACCGCTGCAACTTTCTCTGGACTCCTGATTCTTTCTGCAGCTTTTCTACTGCTACTTCTTGGTTCCTTCTTACAGCTGTCTTTCAGTTACACCCCTGATCTTAAGGTAGGTAAGACGTAACACTAAGCTTTCTCGGATAAGGGCGAAAAATCTCTGAGGTCCCATGTGCAAGTTGGGCACGTTAAAGTTAAAGATCCCATGGTGATCCAAAATCGATATAAGAGCAGGCTTCGGACTTTGGCTGCCACCCAGGCAAAATTCAAAATTAATACATGTGCCTAACAAACTGTTAATGTGTCCCGTACGCTCATATTATGCACCTTATACACTTGCGAGCACCGTAAAACACTTACCAAAGCAAAAACAGGGTAACAAAGTCATGGTAGCTTGATGCAGTACAGTGTGAACCAAAACAGTCCAGCCATGATTGTTATGTATGAAAAAAGAAGATAAGACATTCATCGACACAATAATAATAATAAAATAATAATAATAGATAGCATTTGTATAGCGCATATCCCCGCTCAACAGCAGGCTCTATGCGCTTTACACTATATTATTACCCCAGCAGACCATAGAACACTCCGAAACATTCTCAGCTTCCCGGGAAGCATACAGTGCGAGCAGCCGATTAAGCGCTCAAACACTAACAAACTGACACGATCTTTCGCTGTCTATAGCCGGGTACCCATTCCCACCTGGGTGAAGTGAGGAAAATTCGTGTAAAGTGCCTTTCCCAAGGACACAACGTCGGGCCCCTCACGGGATTCGAACCCACGACCTTACGGTTGCGAGTCCGAGAGCCTAACCACTAGGCCACCGACGCCACAAGTGATTTAGTGATAGAGAAAAGTAAAACAGACTAGCAGACATCACAGGGAAAGTAAAGAAATACGACCGTCTGGTGATGTTCTCCAACCATCCGCGAACAGTACAACATAAAACTGTGAAATCAAGCAATAAGTCAGAGAGTTAATTCAGTTTGTTTATTTTCAGCATAATATACGATTCACAATAAAGTATCTCATCATCACACACAACTTATGACTTAATCGTCACTCTAATATAAAAAAAGGCATAACTCCGAAGTTTCCAACTCACCCTATAAAGCACAGTCAATTTTTTCCTAGTTGCTCATTTTTTCCGTGACAGCAACATAAAGTCAGTGTCACAAGCAATCCACTTAAATCCGTTTGGATACTTTTTACACAAGGGACAAAAAAAACAAGTTTTTGTGGTCTTGTTCCTATCAGGAATCATGAAAAGCAAGAAAATTGTAAGCCTCGACCATAGCATTAAACTGCATTTTTGGCGATGTTGGTGCCTCTCTGATAGAGCTTTGGGATTCAGAAAAAATATAACAAATTTCAAATTTCGGACTTAAGGACCACTAGCGACAGCGACAATGAAATCCAAATTCTATCACAAAACAAAACACCAGAACTCGTCCACGACGCAGCTGTTCTACATCTCATCATCACTCCTTCTGATAGTCGTCCTGCCACGCCTTCGCCTCGGCGTATCTGTTGTAGCCATCGTAGTTGATCCCAGGCTGGTAGTGACCTTCTACCATATCTGGCTCGGTGAGAGAGATTCCCTGGTCCTTGAATGCTTGCATGAACACAGACACCTGCGTGAGAAAGGACAGAGAGATTTTTTTATTTACATCAGGAGACGGCTTGGACTGTGACAAGAACAAGAAGACTCCGCCAGTAACTGAATATCACAGCAAAACATTTGAAAAGGAACAAAAATGATAAGATCGTCTGTTTCCAGCTTTGCGGCTTAACCAACAGTATAGTGTAACTGATCAGTTCCCACCAATAAATACAAAATAAATTGTCCCATTAAATCATAACTTTTCAAAATTGTTTTGTTTTAATAAGTATTTTACAGCACTTGCAACACAATGAGGTCATATAAGTGCTGAAGATTAGAGGGGTTACAAGAGAGTAACAAACATAAAAAAAGAAAGAGAGATGAGTATGATCGATGTTTGAAAAGAAAGAAGAAGCAAACCACACCAGACCATCCGCCAACCACCCACACAAAATTATAAAGCCAAAATAGAATTTTAGAACGGAATAATGATACTAAATTTCAGCTCAACCGGGTAATGAAAATGAATGATGTAGGATGTGGGAACAATTTCAAACCCTCCCTTATCATAATTTGTATATTTTTTTTCATGACCCAGCCAGAGAGCAAACCTTAAGCAGAAATGTGACCTGAACTCATCAACCAGCTTTCAGTTGTAAGCAATTCTTGATACAATACAATACCATAGCACAAAAACTCAGCCTACTATTGCCTCTAAAATGGGAATAAAAGATAATATAGTAAGTCAAACTTTTTAAATAATGTTCTCAATCAAGCCGTTTAGGGGGATCCATCAGATAATTTGGTACATAGCCGAATCAGCAGTAACGACCGACCATCTGTCCAAGATAATCACTTGTCTAAACGACCACTTTTCTCTTTCCCTCTTGAGTTTTTTCTTTTTAATAAAGGCACTGTCAAAGAGGACCACTTGTCTAAGATGGCCACATTTCTTCTCGACAATGTGTGGTCGTCTTGTAAAGGTTCGACTGTACCAGAACAATTGAGTATTTAGACCATATTACCCAGGTCTCTTTTTTTAAAATTACAACAACAATAATCCCGAGATGTCATAGTGCAGTGTTCATCCATCCATTGACCTTGTTCTATTTCTTCAACCCATTACACTACAAGCCACAAAAGCATGATTTTAATCCTTCTCGTCCATCAAAAAAAAAAGAAGGAAATAAACAGTTCTGCAATTTACTATCGTCATGATCACCTTGTTTGTTAGAGGAAAGAGAAGCACATCCACACAATAAAGGTCATTTAGTGTTGGAAAAAAAGTACAACACACATCAACACAGACAGAAACATCAGAGAGAGAGGAAAATAAGGTAAGAGCTATAAGTGGCACCTTCCAGCCATCTGCACGGTCATTGCGATTTTTAGAAAGAGACAAAAATGTTTCGATTACAAACTCACCTTATCTGAAGCTGCGTCAAGTTCTGACTCATCAAAATAGACCTCCGAAATCCCACTCTCCAGACACCTCTGAGCCATCACCCTCCCAACGTTTTCACTGGCAGCTACATCTGTGCAACTGCAGAATTTAAAAAAAAATTTTTTTAATCAATAAGTTCGAAAACAATTTTGTTTCCACAGTTGTTATGAAAGAAGACAAAGAAAATCAACGTAATAACGCTCATATGACCTTATGCAGTTGCGAGCGCCGTAAAACCTCTAATAAAACAAAAACAAAACACTGAGAAACATGCACAAACATAAAGCGAATGACAAATTTCTTCACAGTCGTTAAGAAAATGGGTATCCCACAAATAACTAAAATACAAAAAAAAACAATTAGTAGAAAAGAGAACCATTCATAACAACATAACAAAATTGCTATGCAAAGACTTGGATGTCATCCCAAATTTTCCACAGCAATAACTGACAGGATCACCACTTACCAATTTTTAAAAAACAACTATTCAAGATAACAAGGTTTACATAGTAACCAAGAGACAGCTGTAGTGAAGCTTGGATCACATATCATCCATCTGTATATCTGAGCATCTGGACATAAAGTAAACACAATACAGTTGAATCTTCTCTGACAGCAACCTGTCCAAGAAAATCGCACCTGTACAAGCGACCACTTCCCCCCTTGCACTTTTTTTTCTCAAAATTACAATGACACTGTTGTAAATAAACACCTGTGTAAGATGATCACTTTTCTCCCCCATAATGGGTGGTTGTCATGGACAAGTTTGACTGTATCTTCATAAAGTAAAATACAGATTCTGTCCTTCCCGGCACTGGGTCCCAACATCTCCCATTCCTGCACAGGGAGGTTTGTCTCGGGAAATCGGTTAAGTCCTAATTAGTGTCAGACCTGAAACAGAATCTGATAACATGGTTCACCCCCCCCCCCC